GAAGTTATACGAAAAATGCGTGCACACATTACTCAAAGTACCATGAACAAAGCCGTGGAGGAATTACATGCTATATGGTTTACAGGTATCCTTACGGTCTCCGAAGCCTTCGAAGGAAAATGGCGGATGGGGAGACGTACGTGATCACGCACTCTGTCTGGCTAACACGTACCCGCTGAACAAGACGGCTCATATGATTCCTGAGTTGCTCGAATTAATGCAGTCCTCAGTCCACATTGGCTCTATTGCGCCTCGAAAAGAGGGTTTGTGAGCAGGTTCTCAGAATTTTTGATTCTTTCAATCATATCTACCAAAATATGTGCTTGCCTTATTCTCATCATGTTTTCGGGATACATGGTCAATTGAGTCATAATTGGAAACACATTAGCAAGGTATAATTTGAACAACAATTAATATCCCTCATTTGGTTTTCAGACTTTTCCTGGTCTATATTCTTTTTTCCTTCGCCTCACAATTTAAATGACGGGTCTACACTGGAGGTAGTCCAGGCATTATTTCTGTCTAATTATTTTCTAGTGCAACGTACGGCTTTTAAATGCTTGCCCGTTTTGAAATCTCTTCCCGGTTGTCGACTTTACCATTGGTGACACATTAATATACCTCTTTCTTCAGTGATATGATATGTATTCAGTTATTTTCATTTGATATTATGCTTCAGTGCATATTTTTTGCTCCATAGACCGGGTTACGGCTTTACTCATTTTTCAATTCTAGTTTTATGTATTGCTATTATTGATATTTCTTAAATTAGTCATGTTTTGTAGTTCTATTCTACATATTACGGGTATTTATAAATCGTTGATTTTTACAGGTGTTATGGTTTTATTGGTTTAATCATGGGGAAATCGCACAAGCCCGTGCCGTGATTGGAATTTTGGTAATGTGTGAATACGGTTGGCCGTCTGGAGTTGCAAATAAAAAAGAAAAAAATAAAAAAGAAGAAATGAAAGAAAAGAGAAGCATTCGGTATCCAGTCTGGAGCAATCTCCTTTCGGGTGGGTGCCGTATCATGGGAGTACGCGTTAATTTCAAACTGGATTGACCGAGCGTTCTTTCGTATAGGAAGCCAGGGGATGCTGGGAAGGGAACAGTACGCGAAAGTAGAGTCGCGTGGTCATTTGCGTGGATTCTGTAAGTACCCTAGCAGTTATAGTTCTCGATGAAACGGCTTTGAGTGACAAGAGGTTGCGCGATGCGGGCTTCTAGAAACTCAGCCGTTGTGAATCATGCCGTCCATAGGTTTGTATGAGCGACAAACCGCACGCAGGATAGGTCAGTCTGTAATCTATTGACTATGGTAGATTTTAGTGGCCATTATCGGTCCGGTTGTTCTGCGTTTTGTTCTTCAGGATCGTTGAAGCCAACCTAGTTCTACCTTTCTGGCAAAGAAAGGTATCATGTTACTCCAGTGTACCTGAATGAAGTATCTCAGATGGCAGATGCTACCGCTCATAAAGGCTACGCCATTGGCATAATTAGGTGCAATGAATGAATGAGTGTTGCCCATGGCTGTCCCTCTGGCACACGTTCTCAAGATGAGGTCATATCAGACCATTATGGTTACCGTCAACAAGTGACAAGGGCAATCATGGGTGATGATATTGCTTTCCGAACGCCAGATCCACATATGCTCTGCTTCTCAAGTTTGGCTGATTTCTTTGGTAGAAACGAAATGCCGAAATTCTTAGTGTGAAAGAAACCTGTACAAACTTTCACAGACTATATTCGAGAGTTTTGTGGCGCATGCAAAGGAAAAATGGGAGGTTTGGTTTCAAACGGACGGGAGCAAGTCATTGAAGCAAGCATCTTCGCCAGGATATCCACTGTTAGCTCTCCAGTGAACTCCACTTCAGTTTTTAGTCTTGCAATGAGTGAGAGAGTATCACATTCAGAGAACAAAAATAACCTTTAAATCTGTATAACAAAACACATCAAATGTTAATCACATTCTTAATCAGTACACTCGACAAACTATGCAGAACCTTTCTACGAAGTCTCTTCAATACTTTAGCCTTGTTAGTGAGCGCGACGGAGGTCAAAAACGCTTCACTAATCTGCTGTCAACAAAACCTGGATAGTTCTTCAGTAGCAGTCAGAAAGAGAATAAATGGCACCCACCTTCCACCACCAATGATGTTTGACTTGCGTCAGCTTTGCTACTCTGTAATTTCCATACTTATCGGGATGTTCAGCATTTTTGCATTTCGAAGATAATGCTCTAGAAACGACAGGATTATAAGCTAACACATCAATCTAACACTGAAGCAAAGAAACTTACGCGCTCTTTCCCATCTTTTCTGGACAATCTTTGGGATCCTGCCCAGGGAAAACATGTGGAAATATTTGCATGTTGTAAGGGTAATAAATTTGAAGAACCTAAAGGAAAGAAGCATGAAAATAAGGATGATAAATTACATGCATGAGGACTATATTCAATAGAATAATTTAAATATTTTGATAGGAACATTTTCAAGGGTTCCTTCCCTATTTGGCTAAAACAAAATTTGTAGACAATCCTATAATTGTGAAGCATCCAGTAAAATCTCTTAAATTGGCTCTCCTTGAACTTTATACTTTCAGAAATGGGAAATCAAATAATGTACACTTAGTAAAGTTGAGCAAATAAAGGCGAATGACGGCTTTGAATAGGAATTTCAAAGAATAAAGACGCAATCAACTAACCAGGAGGGCCTTTCAGATCAAGCCCCGCTTTTTTAAAAGTTTTCTGCGTTATATAGATTCATTTTATGGAGCGTGGAACAATGCATCATTTTTCCTGACCGGCCCTCTGAACCGCTGAAAAGTTTCAGTAGATTGTTCCACGGTTCAATCCCCGTTGGGACAAAGTTCTGCATTTTCAATTGACGCCTGCGTGATTTCGCAAAATGGTATCCGCGGCAGGTAATGGATGCTATTAACCATAAGGGCCAACAGTAACCCACATAACCTATGGTTTTCGTAAGAAACTATAGGTTATAAATGTGCGACGCATGAGATTTTTTGAGCCCTGTTCTCGTCATTCACAGAGCCGCTCAGGAAAAAGAAACCATAGTTCCGTGCTCTATGCTACGACCTGAAAGACAGTCCTGGGAGGGTAAAGCTAAGTACTCACCCGAGCAAAACTAATATTTCTTATCATTTCGTTCACTGGCGTGACGTTTATATCATGACTGAATACAATCAAGGCTTCTTCTATGCCTTTAGTGTGCCGAAGAGACTCGATGAGGTAAGCAAGGTAGTTGGGACGGTTATGGACCTAAAATACCGACGCATAACTGAATTCTTAGCACTACTCTAAGAAATATGATAGTAAGCGGAAGAAAATTGTAATAGAACAGAAATATTGATCGGGATCACCTGCACTATAATGACGATTTTTACATCCTCAATGGGCCCGAACTTTGCAAGATTCAAAAACTCGAAGTTTTCGTTGAGAAAATCAACCGATCGTACTATCTCATCACCAGAAATGGTCATGTTCGCATTTGCTCCTGAAAATCGTGAGCTCATTTTAAATCGAAATCGGCCACATACATGTTTCTGCTAGAAATGTTGAACCAGCCGATTGAACGAAATATCAAATGTATTGGAAGTATTTAGGTAGGTATGAAATATCCATCTCACATTCTGTAGTTAGACGTTATAAATAGATAGTGAAAACAGGAAAACTCCAAAATGAGAAAAGTGAAGTGAATTGAAAATGGTTCAGATATTAACTGAATTGAAATATGGATAAAGATAACGTTCACATAACGATCAGGCACTAGGTCTGACCGCTTTCTAGCTTAAACTTCTCTTCTGATTGATTGTTGTCATTTGCAGGAGAGCAAACAATGAAGGGCCTCTTGTTTTGACAGCTGGGAATGTCAAACGGATTCGGCGCTTGGAATAATGTCGAGTTTATTGAGCAATATGTTGGTGCCTCCCTCGCGTGCAAAACAAATAAATACAAAAATATTCTACATCCTATTTCTGTCGAACACAGAACTTTTTAAACCTGGTCAATTAAAATTGACTTTGAAAGACCGGGAACATAGAGGGTCTCATCCAGTGAAAGATGTGTGGTGCGACAGTCGCTGCCGCATGCAGAATACCATTTTTTTGCAGGGGATGCTAAACTGAATCGCTTCCGCTTCTACATCAAACTCGAAGCTTGTTCTCTTCAAAAGTTGGATCACTTCAGGCGATATGCATACGCTTATATATGAAAACGCCTTTCGCACCACACACCCCCTTCTTTACTGGATGAGATTCAACTAGAAACAACGAGCACATACTCAGTTCACAGAACGATCCCGTCAGTAGCAAGCGCTGTTAGTAAAAGAAAATCATCGAAAGGACGGTAACGCTTTTTCTTTGAGTAAAAGATTCATGATTTTCGAGGTATCGGAGTAAACGGATTGACAACACGATTTGCCAAGGTATGTCTCCATAGCGTCTCCTAGCTACCAGTTATTGAAGAGTAAGATTTGGCCCGACGTCCAATCTCTTTTGCCAGCCAAATGTCAATCACACATCTCCTTATTCCATACATAAAGCAGGTTTACCAGGTTCTCGTTTCGAAGATAAAATCGTGATCATAATGACGCTACTGTAACGGCCTGCAAGCTTTTGGCTGTTGAGATATCTTTGCTTTTTCAAGATAAAAACCATTCACCGAAAAGAATGGTCAACAAATGACAAGCACCGAGAACTTTATAATGAAAGGTTTCAAACACCATTAAATTGAAATGGGCTAAAATCAAACACACCACAGAGGAATGCCACCATCAGCTTCTAGACGTACCGGGCAGAACTTTACAAAAAAAACGGCTAACAAAGTTTCCCACAGTTAGAGCAGCATTTTAGAAGTGCCAGGACGAGATCTTACATTAGAATAGAGCAAGAAAGAATTTGGACAATTCTGTTTTGGTTTCACATGAATAAATTTGGAACCACTAAGCAGTACAACTCTTTTGAGACGCACGCTGCTACTGATGGGAACACTAATGGTTTGTTTGTTATCTAGTCCTCACTTCTGCAACATCAGACCGATCACAGCCACTAACTCCCACAAGTTCTATGCTAAAGTTACGTTGATAGTATTGTGACCCAAAATTTCTTCTGTTGACGTTATATGCTAAATGACTTCGCGTATGTGAGGCTGCGTTCATAGTCTGCGACTCTCTTGCAGTTTGCGCAAGGATCACGTGCCGATCGAACGATTAGTATGTATCTAATCTTTGAGTGGACAGCAAGCAAGTCTAAAACTATGAACACTGCCTAGAACACAAAAATAGATAAATGGTCTACATCTGCAGCACTTCTCCCACTCCTCTATTTTCTATTTGCCTTATATCTTCTGAAGTAAACGTTCCCAATTACATCGTGGCTCTTTACAGATGCCGAAGCGAGATTAATAGCCATGAAGACAAAGAGGATAAGGCGGGGTCGTTCTTGTATAACGCATTTGCAAAGTAGCGGACGCAACGTGAGAAGAAAACTGGGAATACTCAAAAGAAGAATGCGCACGTGCCCGGGGGGGGGAGGGAGGGAGGTGGTAGTCTGAACGGGGTGTGGTCCACTAGGACAGAAAGCGGCTCTTTCGCTTTCCGCTGCAGGAACCTCAGGTCCACCGCTGATCATCAGTGGACCCGAGGTTCCCGCAGCGAATCATCAGTGGACCCGAGATTCCCGCAACGAACAATGTTTCGCGCTGCGAAACGCGAAAAAGTCGCTTTCTGTTTTAGTGAACCACACCCGTCTTTACGAAAGGCTCTAGGGTCAGACCCACGGAAAAGAACGAACTCAGGAGAGAATGAAAATTGCTTACGCACTTCGGTGCTGTACAAGTAGGGTGGGCACGCCGCATTTTTTGATTGGAAATGTATAAAAGTGGGTCTGCAGCTCGCTCGCTACTATACTGTCACGAAATGGAGGGAATTCGTGAGCCAGGGGAGCGTAGTAGCCAATCTAGGGGGGTGGGGGGGGGGTGAGGGCAGCCATTTGACATGCGTGAAGAACTGGTCGTGCCCACCCCACTTGTATAGCACCCGCACTTCAATATCCTTCTTCTCCTCTCAGCCTTAATTCTAAAACTGAGTGTTTTCGTAGTCCTGACGCAATGTTACAAGCAACCCCACCCTCCCCCCGAGCCACTCTGCGCCAAAAAGTTTAGGAGCTATTATTACCTACTTCAATAATCGTTAGAAACTGAAACATCTTAGCAAGCGATGAACTCACTGTGAAAAGGCCACAAAGATATATCCTGTTCGCTTCCATAATCAGCCACAGAATCGTTGACTAAATCGGCTTCCAATTCTTTTGTCGTCCGAATGACGATGTCAGGAATTGCGGGAAATGACGGGGTTTCCGACAAAATACCGTCCGTGGACGGTCCTCTCATGATAACGACAAATAAGCCGAACTGAAAATTGATGGGCAATTACGGCTCTCTTTGCACAAAGATAACGACAAGCGGCTATACAACTGTGCAAATTATGGATACTAACCAAACATATTGATATGATAATGTTCAGAATTCTGTGGCCACGACGATGGAGCATCTCACGTCACCCGTTCGGTAAGTCAACCTCCCTCTCGTTGATGTCTGACGTTCCAGATGGCAGTGAGTGCTGTCGTCCTGGAAGAATTGGTATTTTCAATAGAAATAAGTAATTTCAACGATGGACACAAAAGCTGGTGATCGATTAAGCGTTAACGATGAAGACGGCGAGAAACAAGTGTGAAGCGCCGCGCGCGACGTCGCAAGGCATTGGACGCGGCCAATGGGCTTCAGAGTTCATTATCAGTAAGTAATCACATGCAACTATTTCAAGCATAACAATTTATAGTTAGGAGTCTGAAGTTCACGGAAAATACGTCCAAATAAAGTGAAGTCTTCAGTTTTCATATATCGACACCTGTTAAGAACGTTGTGCACAGAACAAGACTTTACCTACTTTTTTGGGTGCCCTCCTTTACTAGGGAGGCGTGAGAATGCAGTGTGATTCGTCGCTATAGCGCATAATCATAAGGGACTGGGACCAGTGGCCAGGGCGCGGACCTATACCAGGGGGATCGCGGGGTGGGGTCAATTTGAAAAGATTTGTCGGTGAATTCTTTGAAATTCAAGGAATTTAGAGATTTCAGATTTCAGCCCTCCGGGCTTCGTTGAACGGGTGGTGGGGGGAACTGTAAGGGAAATTACGAGATTGAGGTGGGGGGATGTTATAAAAATTGCCTTCATGAGGCCTTTGACTGGCGTGGGCGGAATAGGGGCAGAATGTCGTCCCCATTTTAGCCAAAGCCTTTCAATAGTCCATCGCCCTGCCCCAAAACTCGCCTTTTTGTTAAGGATTAATTCCCTTTGAAATTTGGGCTACCGGAAGCATTATAAAGACAGATTAATTAGCATCAATCATCCTTTGGGATGGGCATGCACTCCCTTTCCTTCGAATTGATCGCATTTGGCTACACAATGACGTTGGGCGTGGGGAGGGCTATAGCTGAGTCAGTGTTTTTTCTTCTTGGACGTGCATATCTGATACTAATAAACCGACCCCAGAGAAAAGGAAGTTTGGTTGGTCTGGAACGAAGTCGAAATGGTAATTGGCCGCTTGGACCATGCGGTGGTGGCGCCCCTTGCACTACGCCTCTCGCCCCTTTGGAGCAAATTTGTAGATATTGATACTTCCAGAATTATGGGAGGACGGAGCTTGAGCAGGGAAATACACGAAGTTCAATCCCGTATCTGAACACACAAAATAGGAAGGGCAGGGCCATTCTAGCCAACGAACTGAATAGGACTCTGAAAAGCTTATCTTCAAACCTCGAATGGGTCATATTACACCTTGAAAGCAGAGCAAGTGACTTTTTTGAGGCCATTATTGAAAGGGGACGGGTTGGGAATCGTAGAATCTTTTTCATCCGCTGTGGTAAAGGGCTTTCTCATTCGCAAGGCTGGCCATAAACAATCCGAGTTCCATTAGTATGTGAAGTGCACAGGACGTCTTATGAATATGGGATATAATACTGCATTGTCATGAAACATGCACATTTCTTTTGAATTACCTTATTGCAGATGTGTAAAATCGCTGGGCTGGTGTGAGTTCATCGGAAACAGGGTCAATCATCTCTTGTACCAAGAACAAAGAGAGGGAATGGGGTGATATTTTGAGGTTCCTGAGGAGAGTGACGTATTTGGCGTGCTGGCATCGGACGTTGCTGACAGTGGTAGAGAAAGAAGTGCGGGAGAATAGAGGGATTTCAGAACTTCATATTTCGCTCCGCGATGTTTCGTGTTCGCAGTGGCGGTACATAATCCGCCCCACAAAGGGGAAAGGCGCTTGGTGTCCTCGGGGCATCGTTAGGTTGATGACAGACTTTGCGAATGGAGGGATTTGCTAGCGTCAGCGGTCGCGTCAAGTACCGAGCCATTCGCTGTAGGCAACGCGACTGCGACCGCGGACCGACTTTGCGGATCGCTAGAGGCGATTCGCAAAGTCTGACATCGGCCTTAGGCGGACTGAGTCTAGGAGGAGGGAAGGAACTTCGGGGAAAGCGAAAATTGCCTAAACACCACCTCTCCAGGTCTCCCTCAATGCTTAGTCTTACGAGGACTAGGGTAGGGGCGATGTTGGTTGTATGAGCCTTTTGCATAATGATCTCATTCAACGACACCAGCGCCCGTGTCAAGTAGCGCCATGTTCAACAGCTATAGAAATACTAACCATGAAGAAATGGTGAAGGGGGAAGGCGTAAAATTTTAGAAAGTGGCGCAATGGCTGTCTCATTCTACAGCTTTCTTTTGTCATCCCAAGTCGAACGTGTGCGAACATATTGGTTAGGAACAATTACGTTCGCTTTTTTCAAGGCGTTAATTACATGCTGTTTCCCATGTCCGGGAGTGTCGTAATTGCAGACTTCTTTGGCATCCGGTAGTTTAAGATGAGCTACGGGGCTGCTGTCAACCAACGCGTGAGATTTCACACAAAAACATGCATTATGCTCTTGAAAGGCTAAGTTTTCAAAGGATGCAAAGAAAGCAGAGGTGCAGTGATAAAGTGTACGTGTGAGAGTGTTCAGACAACACTACAAAGCGCTGAATCATCAAGCTTTCCGTTGGCAAATGCCCTTGAACGCATTAAGAGCATCAAATATCACGCATCGGAATACGATTTTTTCGAGGACGTCGCCGCTGACACTGAGTGTGTTTGGTCTGAAAATACGACTGGTCCGGCTGCCATAAACAACAAGCAGATTTTTAGCAAATAGTACTGCGACACGCTCACGATCTGGAAATCGAACGCTGTCTTGACTGCTGCGCAGGCTAAGTAAATCTCCCTTACCTACAGGTTTGACTAATTGGTTCCAAGCTCTCGTAGGAGGTTAAAACTTCGGCTGGCTCCGGCATTTCACAGTGCAGGCCAGTTCACGAAACTTAGTTTATTTGTCAACAATGTGTAGAAAATCAACATCTTACTAATGCGGCAACAAATCATTGTGGTGATCAATAATGATAAGGAGCTCATGTCCACAGGGGGAGGAGGCACTCAAAACAGGGACTTTAGTGGTAAACAGTAGAACTAAGCCCAGGAGAGGGGAAAACGCCAGAGAAAACACTAAATGCTCATGTTCTCCCACCTCAGTCCCAAGTGTTGTGAGTGGCTAACTCACTTAATGTACTCAACCCCCCCGAACGACATGAGCGTCAGCTGCAGCGTAGGTATCTTCTACAATACTGGCAATGAATATAAGAACCATGATAACATGTCGGGTCCATACGGTGAGATCAACAGATTTAAAGCGTCAGGAAATTAAGCACTGGTGCGCCAAACTTAGAACGGACAGCTGAAGTATCATAAGCCTTTTGTCAGCCGTCTTTGTGGACGTTTAAACGGTTCTGTAACGGCCCTCCTTTAGTGGTGCCGCTGTAGAGCTCTTGTTAGGTTCCAATAGAGTGCATCTTACGCGCTGGCCACCCACTCCGTTTGAAAAGACTACGCTTCGAAAAGACCTAAGTTTTACACACCAGTGTAGATTAGTACAGTAGACCGTGCAGAACAGCGCCACCTCATGGCACTCTACGTCTTCCCTTTAGTGCTACACTCTATGAGGAAAATTCAAATGCATTCCAAATAATTTGGTGAAACAATAGAAGAGAGTCGCTAGCCAACTCGCCTGTGCGTGCGCCGTGCTTTTGAATTCATTTGGATACGTTGTAGCGATTGAATGCTTTTTTACGGTGTGCAGAGATTATGCAGGTCAGATCCAATCTTTGTTTCAATCTTTGTTTACATTGTTTTCATTTTCTCATACAATAAAGGTAAAAATGATATGCCGGATAATGAATTGGAATTGAAATGATCCCTTTCATCTCTTCCTTAGATGGACCAGCTTCCTTGGCCATGCCGACGCACATCATTAACAAGGGGCAGGGCAAAGATGTTACCGAATAGACATTGTGTAATCGAGACTACAATATCTGTATACCTTTGTACATTGATGGTAATGATGACTCAAATTTTCTCGACAGGGCTCGATCTGAAGATGCTCATCACGAAAATTCTAACTACCCACGTTGCGCTATCGCTTAGAAGAAGTTATGCTGTTCAATGAACACATTATCTACTTAATTACATTATATTATTAAATACGACGGCAAGCTGAGACTACAAAATGGAGAAAATCTGTGTAGAATACAGCATTTGCAATTGAAGCCGGACAAACGCTCGAAATTTCACACAAATGTTTGAATGGGTTGTTGAGCGATGAATAGCACATATCGCATGACAGTGGGAACCACGAAAATGTGAACAAATAAAAGGGCTTTTTGGAAGAATAGAAAAATAGCAGTAACGACGGGTGGAATGAAAACGGTTGGAGCCAAAATGAACGCCTCAGCGATACCGATCAAACAACCGATAGCAATCTCTCGCTCGTACATTTTCATCTGTGAGTCACACAGATTCGTACACACAAACGTCTTAAGGACACATTGGTAGGTTGGCACGGTGACCCCATAGTGCATTTGGGCAGACAATCGTCGCGACGTCTGGCGCGGTGTTTTATTGAAGCGACTGGGGCAGTGAGCCGCTACCGATACGATCGATCTTAAACAGATCTCGGTAAGTTCCAGAATAAAGCCTGGAAAATAGAAATTTACGATTTTCTCCAATTGTACTTTTCCCCGTGAAACTGTACTCTGCTTCTCTGGGCTCTAAACTGTCCGAAATTCTTTGAGATGTTCTGTAATCGAGTGCCTGTGACAAACCCTGTGAAACGATTTCTCAGGGTAGAAAAATTATGGGGAAGGCATGTGAGAACCTGTTCCGTTGGTTATGCAAGTGCCAGATGCTAATCATTCCCTTCGATTTGCGCCACGCACTCGATTGCACGGTATCGCTGAGGCAATTGAATGGTTTGGTAATGGGCCCAAAGCCTGATTTACCATGAGCACCAGAAACGCGGCCAGGACATGGATATGTATTCTCTATTTGAGTCCAATATCAGCCAGGGGAACCCGACAGGAAATGAAAGGCTTGACTGGGAGAAGCGAATTCAT